CACAATTGCATCAATTGCGTCAACTATAAAAAAAATTTGTTTGACTCAATTACTAAATTCTTGATTTTTAATTGCATCTGACTTAATTCAATAATTTCTGCCACATGTATATATACTACTATTTAAATAGTATATTGATTTTAAAAATTTTTTTCTAATATTTTTAAATAGAATTGATAATAAATTAATATTTAACTTATATATTTTAAAAGATATGAATTCTTTCTTATAGTTATATCTTAATATATATATATAATAATAAACTGATATTTATTAATATAAAAAAAAAATCTAATATTTAATTTCAATTATTGTATTTTTTTTAATTTATTTATATTTTATAAAATAAAATTTAATTAATAATATAATTTTGAATTACATAAATATAATAGTTAATTATTTATTAATTATTTATTATACTATATATTATTTTGAATTTTATTATAATACAATTTTTGAAAAATATTTGAATTTAATTTTATTATGTTTATGATTTTAATCAAGAAGAATTTATTATATTACATGTTTTTTTTTGTATTTTATATATTTTAAAACTTAAATTATAACAAGTAAATATTTTGAAATGATAATTTAATATTTTAATTTTCCAATTATTCAAATGAAAATTTTTTTTAAAAAAAAAAATATTTAAATAATTCAAACAATTATAATAAATAATATATAAATAATGGTTTTTTATTTTTTATTGTTAAAATTCAATAAAATTTAAATCTAATTATACTTTATTTTTTCTGAAAAAATTGGTTAAATACAAAAATTTTTAATGATATTTCGATTGTAATAATAATCATTTAATAGAATTTTTTAAGATGTCAATTTTTTATATCCAATATGGAACTTAATTTATAAATATTTTTATTTATTTATTTTTTCTTATTATTTTACATAAAAGTTATTTGACCTATTCTTATAGGTAGTTATAAGCATTCAAAATTTGAAAATAGTATAAATTAAATATCGAAAATATTATGTTATCAACGAGACCTCACAAGTTTTTCTTTATAATCACAATGAACAGAGATCATTATCCTCAGATCACTATGTATTCACATTAGTAATTAAAAGGTTAATAAATTTTAACGAATTACTCAGGTTGCTAAATGCATATATTAAATACTTCTTTTCGAATATACTTTCTACCGAAATATCTATGAGCAATGTTTCGATAAAGAATTAATCAACAATCCCAATATATATTTAATGGATACTATTGGATTTTCTTTATATTGACAATTTATTGTAGATCTCCCATGTCTAATGAAAGTACAATCCTCTGCACTGAGTATTTAAAAAAAACTTTCAAAGTGAAGATCAAAGCTTTTTCTTTGACGAATTTATACCTTTGACATAATATGCATAAAGTTTAAATCCATCTTTCTGCGATCTACGGACGAAAAAGTATTTACTTGACAAGACCAACCTAAATTGGTGCGTCTTAAAACATTCCTTTCAATATCAAATATTACATAGAAGATTCCATCCTGAAAAATAAAAACAAAATGTTACCGAAAAGGTGAATGCGCATTTCCTACGTCAAAGTATTATTTACGACATTGCAAATAACGCAGATTGGTCGTATTCCTTATTCGATTTAAGAATGATTCTAAAAATGCACTTTCTAATTAATTATATATACACACGAACCTGAGAAAATTTGGTGTCAAACAAAGAGACAAAATTAACGTCTAAACAATGTGGACCAATGTGGTGGAACACCCCATCCATGTTGGTGGGCAACTCTAATATAAGCATCAATCGCCTCCTATGGTATGACAGTTAAGTTAGAGATATGAATGAAATGTCGATATAAACGGCAGCAAGTACTTACGCGAGTACTGTACTCATTCTTCCAATTACGATCAAGTCGTGCCGGCGGATTCAAAGTACTCAAGGCCAATTTCACCTGATACCGAATAAGGCAACAAATTAGGAAATAATGAACTACAAAAACTTGGGATAAATCAAAACCTCACCTGTAATAAAACTGCTTCCATCGTATATTCAGGTGACCAACCATGCTCACGAGAACTACCCAAAGTCAAAAGTTCCATACAAACGGAGCCACCTGCCGTTACCTATTGAAGTACAATCTGTTATTTCAATAGTGAATAAGTCAGCTTAATGAATAAAACTTACGTGTCCACCTCCACCATTCATAAATCTAAGAAGTCTGGGTCGAATAACACGAATGTACCTATGGTTACAAGTAGTTTAGATTCCACGAGTTTAAATAATATCAAAAGATAAATTCGTGAAACTTACGGCGGCAAATTCGGGTAATCAGGTGCAAACCGAATTTCTAAATCAATGCTTTTTACGCCATGTCTTACCATATCTTGAGCCAGTGGAATAGTGGGATCAAAATCTTTAAGTTGAACAACCTGTGTTTCAAATACTTCCATTAAATTCTTTGCACCAGTAATTAAGAAATATATGTTTTAAATTATATTAACCCATTGGTAAACCGACTGCAATTTGTCAAGTTTCACGTAAAATCCCAAGTCATTGGATGGTGTGTCTTGTTTGTGAACGATTAATCTCAATTCTCGGTAAATACGCTGTGTTGCTGTCTTTGTTGAAGATGCTACATAAAAATCTTAATAGTGAGACCTTATTCAAAAAAGGCAATAAGAAAATTGACATCAGGCATATACCGGGAAGTGGTAAAAGACTTGGATCAAAATCAGCTAAAAAGAATTAAAATCGTTAAGTAAAATATTTTGATCCATATAGAATATAATTCATACCATCTTCAGTTTTCTCGGTCTCCTCTGTTTTCGCACTTTTTTTCGATGGTATCTTTGAATTTATTGTGTTAAACATGTTTGACATTGCTGTTTGTATTTTAGTCTTCGAATTCATATCTAATAAGAATTATATTTTGCAAGTAAGGTTTGAACTTTTAGTGCATTCGTTTCAATACAAAAATTCTTTTTCTCAGAATAAATGAATATTAATTGTAAATTCGCAACACTCAAGGAAACGTACAACATAAGAGTATCGATAGCTGAGTGAAATGGTGAGTGAATGAATATACAAGAGCGTGATTTGAAATATATTTATACTTGAGTGCCAAGTACGGAGTTTCAATCTTATTATCATTACAAATTTATGTTGTACTACTTTTTCTTGCAAAGCTTGCGCAGTCTCGTGACGACGGTTATAAATATAGAAACAATTACGAATTTAATTCAGCTATATTGCTTTGTTATTATATTACAGTAATTGGTTCTATTTTTAAATTAAATATTATTTGTTATATACGCAGTATGTACTGTATATCAGTTTAACAAATACATACTGTATATTAAATATATATTTTTAAAAAGCCTTTTCCACTTTTTTTTACACTTGAAATTTCCTTTTTAGGTGATTTTTTCTTTTTAAACAATAAGTATTTTAAATATAATAATATATTTTAAAATAGATATACAATATATATATTGTAATTGTTTCTAATCAGATTATAATTTTGTTTTTTTTTTTTGCTTCTAACCAGATTGCAAATAGAAGCATTTATTAATCCATCTTTTTTGGAGAACAGTAATACAATACACATGATATTATACTAAAGTTAAACTAATATAATTTTGTAAAACATTCATTAATAAGTTTAAATTTGTATATAATTCTTGAATTCTTAATATCAAGATTATCATGTTATCCATATGATTTAGCTATTTATTAACTATCTCATTACAAAAGAGTAGATTTATTAAGTTATTACTATGTAATATTAATTATCTTAGATTTTTTAAATCTTAACTTTTAGATATAATTGTAAAAAATAATTCTTTTCAAGACTAGATATTAAAAACTATATCTTAAAAGATCTTAATCAGCCTATATTCAGACTATCATCTCAATATGAATCTATAGTTCTAAGAGATAAAAATTTTTTATTTTTTAAGAAAAAAGAAAGGAATAAAAAGAGTAATTGAAAAGTTTATTCTAATAAATAAAAACTCTTTAATATCAACTTCAATCCATCAAAATAAATCCTTTACCACCACTTGTAATTTAACAAATTATTTAATTTCCACTGTTTTATTGCTAACCAAGAACATTCAAAATACTTATAACAAGTCTTATATTTATAAGAAATTATTGCTTGGAACAAGACTTATACCTTAGGGAATTATTGCTTAATATCTTTTTAGAATAATTAACAACAGAAAAAACTTGTTACTGGATTTAGATGAGACTTCTTTTGATCTTAAAGAGAAAAGAAACCAGTTCAAGAGAAAAAAAAAAGTACTATAACACATCTTGACAAAACAGGCATCTTATTATCTTGCTTTTTTTATTGTATTCAATAGTATTATTGAATTTATTGTTATACAAGATAAGACATATAAGAGTTACATGTCTTGTTTATATTTCTTGCTACATGTAGATCAACCAGTTCAAATTTCCAGCCAATTATCATTCAAGAGTTCCAGTGTAATCAAAAATTCAGGGTCAAACTGAGATAGACAAAATTCTCCAAAAAAATTAAAAAAAAATATACACACTTGAAAGGATAGGAGAGAAACTTGAGAAAGACAAAAGAAGAGTTTAAAAAGCCCATATCAATCTTTCTGGAGTCTTGAATCTCTGAAGGAAAAGAAAAATGTATTTTTTTTACAAGTTTTTTTTTCTAACGAAGTATTTTTGCCTTAAATTTTATAGATAGATTTTTCTTATATTTACTTATTAAAATATAAAAAATTTATATTAAAGAAAAAAAAAAACAAGAAGGGAGAGACTAAAGTCTCTAGATATTAATGTTATTAAAGAAAGTGTATAGACTTTATTACAAAGAAATATAAAATTTTTTTGGAATGTCTGTTTTTGTGTTGACAAGAGAATCAGTAAAAAGAGTTCTATATCAGATTATAATTTTATTATTTATTAATTTTATAAAAAAACAATAATATATTGTACTTTAAAACATTATATTAAAGTTAAACTATATATATTGTAAAATATTTATTAAAAACTTATTTGTAAATTTGTATATATATATTTTTTTTTTCAACGACTGGTGTATATCTTGTTTTATTAGGTTATTTAAATGCAGCATGTACAAATTTGTATTACAAATTTACCACCGCTAATTCTCAAATAGAACTACCTAAGATTCGGATTATCCTTATTTACCGGTCGACTTATTGCCCTCCATTTTTCCTATATTACCAGAACCGGAATTTTGATCACATAGGTAGAGTGCTAATGTGTCAAAATATGTGCCTTCTAGTCCCGCCCACCATCCGATGAATGAAAACTTGAAGAATCGTATCCTAATATGATTAGCCGTGAATCTAAGCCATATTCACAAGGAGTCTTTGTGGCTCTAGCTATGGTCACATGAAAACTGGATTGTTTCTTTTATAGTCACGTGGACTATAGGGGAAAGGAAGCGTGCTCCATGCATGAGAAACAAGAATATCACCAAACTTGACAACAATTATCGTAACACTGCCGGACGATCGTTACACCGCTACGCCTTTCTTGGTATCACAATCCTAACACCTGTTGAATCAACATGTGAATTGGCTTCTTATAGAAAACAGCGCATATTAGGTTATGGCGCCAGATATCATCTTGAGATGGTTTAGTTACCTTCACCTGGAACTGAACTTGGTATCTTGTGACAGTAATCAGAAGATGCCAATCTATTTCTTCCGGTTTGAGGTTTCCACATTAGCCCTCTGGAGGATTTGAACCATTATCTTGTAATCTGACCTGCAGAGCACTAACCACTGTGCTATAGATCCACAGGTCATTTGTAAATTTGTATATAATTCTTAAAAATTTTTTTTTTGATAGATAAATATCATTTATTTATTTATTTATTTTTTTCCATAGTTAAACAGTATGTACTGTTTATTAAATCTTTACAAAAAACAAATAATGTATAATACATCATATTGTATAAACTGTTCTATTATCTTGAACACCCATCTTTGACTAATGTCTCTAGGTGTGACTTTGAAGATAAATAAAGTTGCTTTCTTTGTCATTTACTCACTTATGGAGTTCAATTCCAAAGGTTATTGCCTGCAGTTCATCACTACAGTTCATCTTTTCAAAATCTAAACTACTTTTTATATTTCTAATCATTTTCTTCTCTTCTTAATCCATTCCCAAATTGAGATCTTGTCTTGAATTTGTGTGGAGAAGTCTTCTATGTCATTTTTTTGTAGCTCTCTTAGACTTTTTTCCTTCTGGTTGGGACCTTTTAATTTCCTCTTTTTTTTCCTTGTCCCATGTGTGTCTTTTTTCCTGTATCTGAATATTTTGGGTTTTCTTCCTAAGTTCTGTAATCTGGCACATCTGTCGTTCCATAGTTTCTTCCTAATTTGCTTGCAAATATTTTTTGAAAATTTCTTTAGTAACTGTCTCACTTCATTGGTTTTGGTCTTGACTTTGGTCATTGCTTGTATCTATTCTGATATGTCTTCTTTTGAGAAAAATCCTAAGCACAGGTTTATGATTTCAATATCTGTGAAAAATTTGCGCCTGTGTCATCTTTATAAAAGCTCTTGTATTGTAGTTTGCCTATCTTGTATTTCTTCTGCCTGAGCATTTTCCAGCCATTTATTGAGTAGCTGATCTTGACTTTTGCTCCATATTTCTTTACATATTTCTGTGATACTGTTACATGAGAGTAGATGTTCCAGGAATTCTTTTTCTTGTTGACAGTATAGGTACTTGATCAAGTTTGCATATTTTATAGGAAATTTTTTGTCATATTATCCAGGGTCGGTAGTTTGTTATGCATTAATTTTATCCGAAAGGCTTTTTCTCAGACTTGTTTAAAAGATGTTATTAAAGATTCTTCTACTTTGTTTACTTCCCAGAGGCTTTTCCAGTCGAAGTTTTTTTAATTGTCTATTTCTTTGGCCCATCTTTTTTATATTCAATTTTGATTTGCTCATTTTGTTAGAGTGCTTCTCTTGTATATTCTTTGACAAATTCTCTTACTCCTATATCAATAGAAACCTTGTTCCAGCATAGTGTTGTTAGGGCTTCTTGTTGATACCAGCTGTTCCAACAAATCTCAGGTTCTTCTTTTGCTGTTTTAGCAAGAAGGTCCACCTTGTTATTAGCCTCATCCTTGTCATGGGCTTTTACTTTGGTCATTTGAATCATGGTTTGTTTCTTGTGTATTAGGTTTATGAATCTCATTCACAGTTGCCAGTTCTTTTACTTTCTGTTTCTTTTTCCTGTATCTCTAATGTGGGAATTGAGGAGCTTTTGCAGGGTGTTGATACAGATTGTACAATCTGTTCTGATTTCTATTTGACTTTTCTGAGGTATGATCAAGAGTGCTAGAATAATTGCAACGAGTTCTGCCCAAAATGTTGATGGCCAATTGTCTACTCCTGCTTGAAAGGATCTTCCTGGGTTTGGTTCTTGAACTTGTAGCCAGGCAGTTCTCATTTTTAGTGATTGGTCTCTCGCTTTGCCATATAATCCATCCATGTAAAAACAATAAGACTGTTGAAAGTTACTTTCTTTATTGATTCTATATTCTTTTATCAGGGATTGTATGTAGTCTGGAGATTGAATATGTTCTTTGATTATTTGTACTCTCCAGTCTTCTATTTCAACTGCCATAATGCGGTTGTTAGTAATCTCCTTTTTCTTGAAATGTTTCAATTTTTTTTTGGTGAGGTTTCCAAAACATATATGCTAATCAGAATTTCTAATTCATCTGCTTTTCTAAGGGTCAGATATTGATTAATAATGTCACATAATAATGATCTGAACTTTGATCTTTTGTTGCCTCCATGGACACTTGTTCTGATTGATGAACTTCTTGTTTCCTCATTGGTCTGGAGTTG